CCCCCCCCCCCCCCCCCCCCCCCCCCGCCACAAAACTGCCTGTTTGCATCCTGCTGAGCCAGAAACACGATGCCAATGGAGGAGCATTTTTGACCCCCATCAAAAAAGAGAAACTGAAGGCTTGCTTAAATTTCCCAAAGGTTCCTCAGTATTTTGGAATTTTAATCATTCTCTTTAAAGGAATCTTGACTTGTTCTTTCTCTTTTCTCCTTTTCATGTGCAAATTGGTCTAACAATAAAATGGATAAAATCCGTATTCCTCCAAGGCTTTGCAGGTGACTCTCTGACAAGACTTTCTCATCCCGCCCACCCTCAGTCCTTTTTTTTTTTTTTTTTTTTAACTTGCAGTTTCATCTGGCATTTGACTTGCATCCTGCTCTCCTTGGATGTTAATGGATGGCCAACCTCCAAAAATGCTCTCTCCTGGTCTTGCTTTTCCCTTTGCCCAGACCCTCCTCCCTGCCCCCGCCCCGGAACCTCGTCTAGTTTCCTTGCTCGTGTGTCTCATTGCTCAGCTCTTCTGCACCCTGCTGTTTAGGAGGTGTTTGCAGGGCAAGGGCTGACTGTTGGGCAGGCCTTCCTGCTAAGGGCACAGACCCTCTGGAAACCTGCGATGCCTGGGGAGGGAGCACTTAAGAAGTCTGCAGGGCAATAGCCAAATGGTCCTCGGATCCCACGGAATGGGCATCGACTGAGCACCTGCTCTGCGGGGACCGTTGATGGTGTGGGATGCTGTCTGCCCCCCAAAGCTTCTTGTAGCTGGCATGCCTCACCTCTTTGCCTCTGGGTCTTGAACAGAATGGGTCCTTCTCTGGGGCATATCTTGGTTCTAGCCCAAGGGCAGATGGGACATTCCTTAGATACTGCCTGCTTGATGTCCCTGATGGACCAAAGGTAAGGTAGCACCAACACCCAAACATGACTGCCCAGAGGACCCACTTGTGCACCCGTGTGGCCATTCGCCTTCCATTTTTGGAGCTCTTGCCTTGGGCCCGGCACTGTGTAAGCACCTTCCATGTATGTGTGTAGCCTCCTGTCATCCCCACAATGGTCACAGGAGATAGCAAACCCTGTCGTTTTACAGGGGAGGAAAGAGGCTCACTCAGCTGACGAGAACTGGAGCTGGGTTTCTGGCCGGCTGCTCCTGCTTCCTGCCCTCGGCTGCCCAGACTCATCCTCCCGCCAGTCTTCCCCCCGCCCCTGCCTCTCAGTAAGCGACAGTGAGACAAGCCCTCGTAGTGCCCCTCATACGGGCAGGCAGGGGTCATCTGAGGGGGTGAGACCAGCATTTGGGACAGCCCAGCCTGCTGGCAGGGTCTGCAGGGGGCCACATGGGGCCATACCGAAAGGGGCTGGTGGCGCCGGGCTGCAAAGTCGTGACAACAGTGCCCACCCAGGCAGGTACCAAGTTTTGCTCTGCAGCCTCCAGAGAGCCAAAGGCCCACCTGGTCCAGCGGATCCTTTGCAAGAAGGCGGATAACTGGATGTTTTTAAGGTCGTGGAACAAAGAGCAGAATCCCTCCATGGATCTGAGAGAGGATTAAGAAGCTGATGTCTGTGATGTGACCACAAGCCAAAGCTTGCAGAACAGAACAAACCACGGTCACCGCAAATAAGTGGCAAGGGCAGGCATCACAGGAGGGCAAACGGCGACAGACAGCTGCGGGGCAGATCCAATCAGGACACTGTGGGGACTCTTACCTGTGACTACAGGGGCTCTGGGGGCATTCTCCTGGTGGCCTTCCCCGTACAGGGCAGGGTGGCCTGATGGGGGCCTCATCCGCAGATGGTCCTCCTCCGCGAACCAATCCCTGACCTCCCATTCTGCTCCCAGGAGGCCCCCACTGGATCTGCCCTTCTCCTAGAGAGGACAGTTGATGGGCGTTGAGCTTCATCAGCATTTAGAAGCCAACTCTACAGAGCACTTCGTATCAGAACCCTGGCAGCAACCCGCATGGGGGATTTCAGGCCTCCCCTGCTGACCTTACAGAGACAGCAAAGGGTTCGTGCTGCCAGCCGAGGGCCCGAGGGAGCAGGCCTTTGGGGCCCACACAAGGGCCTGTTGTCCCAGTAATCACTCAGGGCCGGTTCGGGGGTCACAATGGAGCCTTTCAAGGGACAAAGAGCCTCTGGCCCAGCGGAGTGTCCCTGCACACATGGGCATCTGCCCAGGGCATTTAAAATAACAGGATTTGGAAAAACAGATTTAAAGTGATGTTGCCCACTCTTTGCATGATTCAAGGCCTTTGTTCTGTCTCCATCACGCTTGGCCATGGCAGCCGTGGTGCGGTGCTGGAGGCAGATGCCAGGGCTCCCTCTCAGGTACCACAGGGACAGTCACTGTGCCAGGCTCGGATTTGATACACACAGTGTGTTCAGCGTCCAGGGCTCCTCTCAGCCAATGCATGGTCTATGAAAGCTCACTAGGACAGACACCCGGGGACCGGAAGGGGGAGAAGACTCACCAATGACACCATGTGCCCAGTACTGCGTGACGTGCTGACCTCTTCACATAACCCTCATGACACCCCTATGTGATGGATGTCATTTGGATGAGGAGTATGAGGCACAGAGGGGTGAAGCGACTTAACCAAGTTCACACAGCAAGTCAATGTGATTCCAGCTCCAGGGTGTCTAGCTTCAAAGCCCCAAAGATACCTGTCATGTGCCACATCTCACCATGATAGGGTCTCTGTCCCTCTGGGAGCAAGGAGCACAGACAGGCCAAGCACGTCCTTCATACCCACAACACTGACAGACGAGATAAGAAGCTTCCAACCTGCACACAAGGAGTGTGGGCAAAACCCAGCCAGAAGCCCAGCCCGCCTGGGAGGTAGGTGTGAGATGAGGAGGACTTTGTTGGGCAAAGAGGGCAGGGAGGGCCTTCCTGGGCAGAGCCAGGGTGGGGTCCAACCCAGGGAGGGTGGGGAGGAAGAGGTCTCAGGAGGTTATGAGGACCTGGGGTGCCCCTGAAGGTGAGGCCGCAGTCTGGCTTTTACCCAAGGAGCACTGGGGGGCAGAATCCCCGTTGGACCGTGGCAGATGTCTAAGAAGAGATGGTGGCAGTGGGAGGGTCGGGGGCAGGCATGCAGGCTGGGCTGGGGAGGTGGGATAGACCTGACCAGACTGTGGTGGACCGAGAGCCGCTAGAAGGGAGTGGCCGAGGGCATGCATCCCTGAGCTCGCCCAAGTGTGTGGCCTCTCTCTCAACCTCAGCTCCCTTCCCTGAGGAAGTGCCAGTAGCGATCACCATTATGGGAACGAAGGGAAAGGTCTAGAATGATCCTGAAGTTTCTAACCTGGGCAGGTAATGGTTATTGGCTTTGTCTTTATTCGTTAACCATGTTCCTGACATCAGAAACTTGGATATTTTGCTTTTCCCCACAGAAGTGAACGTTTAATTAGCCATGACATAGTTTAAAATAACCCTATTTAAGCTAGCCTGAGTGGCTCAGTCGGCTAAGTGTACAAATCTTGATTTCAGCTCAGGTCATGATTTCAGGGCTGTGAGATCGATCCTACACAGGGCTCCACGCTGGGGGTGGAGCCTGCTTGGGATTCTCTCTCTCCCTCTGTCCTCCCCCATGCTCGCACACTCTCTCTCTCTCTAGCTCTTAAAAAAAAAAAAAAAAAAGCCCCATTTAGCAAATCAAACTTCAGTCCCTTGGAAAGAGGCCATTTCCTCCAGAGCCCTTCTGACCACTACGTGAAGTGCACCATGAAGGCCCGAGAGAGTCAGGGTCATCCAACCAGACCCTGGCTCCCTTCGGTTTCCTGGGCATGAGTAGCCAGGCCTGAGCAGCCTGAAGCCCCCATTCCCCTGGGGTCAGGCGGGACAGCGGTGCTGGGAGGGATCACAGAAGTTGCGGATGAGCAGGAGATCCAGAAGTCCAAGAGACCCGGCCAGCACCCAGCAAGTGAGTGCTGGAGTTGGCATTCAGCCTTGGGCCCCCGGGTACCCTCCTCTGCCAGCCACCCCCTTGTCTTCCTGCACCTGCTGCCCTCCTCTTTCCCCCAGTTTTATTAAGATGTAATTGTCATGCAACATTGTACAAGTTTAAGGTGTACAACATAATGACTTAATATGTGTATATATTGTGAAATGCTTACCACAATGAGTTTAATTAATATCCATTATCTCGTCCCTGTTATAAAAAAAATTGTTACACATTTTTTTTCCTTGGGCTGAGATCTTTTAAGACTTACTCTTAAGCCACTTTTAAATATACAGAACAGTGTTGTTAGCTGTAGTCATCATGTTGTACATCACGTCCCCGAACTTATTCGTCCTGTAACTGCAGGTTTGTGCCTTTTGACCCCCATCACTCAACTCTCCCGCCCCCCACCCCCCACTTCATGCAACCACTAATTTCACCTGTTTCCACGCGCTTGTTGTGGTCTTTTTTAGGTTCCACACACAAGTGAGATCACACAGTATTTGTCTTTCTCTGACTTATTTCACTTAGCATAAGGAAGTCACTATCCCAAACAGATATGGGCACCCTCCTGTTCACAGCAGTATTATTTACAGCAGCCAAGATGTGGAAACAACCTGGACGAATGGGTTAAAGGAATATTATAAAGGAATAAGGGAATATTATTCAGCCATAAAAAGGAAGGAAATCCTGCCATTTGTGACAACACGGATGGACCTCGAGGGCATTACACCCTGCTTAAGACACCCCACTGCTTTCTGCCTCATGCACTGTGGTGACCAGAGCAGAGCTATATTAGCAAACTGTGCTGGTGACACGGCAAGGGGGTGGCGGGGAGAAGAGCCATCCCTGGATAAATACCCAGGCTTGGTGGTCCACTGGGAGACTCTGTGGTCTTCAGTTTCGGGGGTTAGAACTGATGACCATCTTGAGCATCACACAGGACATGCATCCAGCAATG